CCTTCCTGCCCCCACCCCACCCTTCCCCGGCTCCTTCCTTCCCAGCCCACGCCCGCGCCGCGCCCCCCAGGAGGGAGGAGGGGAGAGCGGCTGAGGGTGGCCAGCGGGGTCCGCTGGGAGATGGGGGAACGACGCTGACGGCGCCCCCAACGCCTTGGCCGGAGCAATGTGCGCCACCAGCCCATTCATTCTCCCCAGCCCGCGCGACCCACCGACTTCAAGCCGGGGGAAAGGCGGGGGGTGGGGTGGAGAGAGCTAGTGCCGGCCCCGCCCGGCTCCCCCACCCCCCGGGGCCCCGGCCGAGGCGCAGCGCTGCAGGCAGCCCGGGTGCGGCGCGCTGGATGCAGTGGTGCGGGGCTGGGGGAGGGGGTGGATGCGGAAGCCCGGGTGCACAGCAGCCAGAGCCCCTGCCCGCGGACAGCCAGGTCCTGTTCCAAAGGGACCGAAATTTAAATGAAGATCCCTGACGGAGGAAACCGAGATGCAAATCTGGAATGCATCCTTCTTAAACGCAACTGCTGCGTAACACTCGAAAAACAAACAAAAAAAAGCCCACCAGAAATACAGCAAAAAAAGAAAAAACCCGGACTGAACTAAAAATTTGTATAGAAGTCATGTGCAGGCAGCTGCTACGCTGGCGTCTGCCACTCCCGACCTACCATGGTGCGAACGGAGGGTGGAAGAGCAGAGGGATCGAAGGTGGCTGCACCAGCGCAGGGGCTGTAACGGCGGAGGTGCCTCCGCTGCGGCTGTGGCTGCTGCTGCTGCTGCTAAGGCGCGGTGTGCGCTGCGCGATGTGCCGCTGCCGCTGCCGCTGCCACCGCCGCCGTCCAAATGCGAGTAACGGCGCCGCGCCCGCGATGTTCCCAACACCAATGCCGAAGTGCGAGTCTGCGCTCTGCGAAATATATACCGTGCTCCGTATCCCTCCGCCGCGACTGCGGCCCCTTCGCTCAGAGCGGTGCCGCGAGGGCCGGGCCTTGCCCGCTTGGCCCCACCCCCGACGCGCCCGGCCTCCCGCCGCCCTCTGCGCGCCCGCCACCGCCCGCCCAGGCCTCAGCCCGAACGCAAAGCGTTCGGAGAGAGGAGAGGGGCTTCGAGGCAGGCCCCACCTGGGGGGCCGGGGCGGGGACAGAGCGCCTGCACCGTCCCGACCTGGGGCTGCCCTCGGCTCCAGAAGCCCCAGCCCCACCCCACCTGCGAGACCCCTTCATCACACCTCCTACCGCTCCTCTGGGGCAGCCGGTCCGGTTCCGGGAGCCGCGGGACGTCTTGGGGCTGGGGGCGGCCGCAGGGAGCTGGGGGCAGAAGAATTGATCGCACACCCTCAGCTTCCAAGGAGAGAGGTCTGGAAGGGCGATGGGAGGGGCAAAGCAATTTCCTCGTGCAAGAAATTGTTTGGACGTTTTGTTTCTCAAAATATGAAGCATTATGTGAGACAAATTATATATGCTCAATCATTAAATCTGTCGTGCTCATATACTTAGCCACTCATTTTAATGTTTTTACGTTTCCACTGAATTTTTTTATATGCCTGAATGATATCTCTTCCCCTGCCGATTTGTTCTCTTTTTTCTATGGAAAATACTATTCATCCTGGCTCCAGTCTTACTGACATTAATATATCGAAGCATCTTCTATAGACCTTACAACCTATGCTTTGATTTTTTTTTCTCTTAATTTTCTTGATCTTGAGAGGGATCAGATTTTTATTCATAAATCCATAGAAACAAAGAAGGAAAAGATTCTTAGAATCCCTCAGATGACAGCTGGAACACACAACTAACTGACTCAACTGTGGAGCTAGACCCTATTTTAACCTACAATTTCGATTATATTCATTTTTAAGGAGCATTTTAGTCCTTAAATTTACTGTTTCCAATTTTCTGTAAACTAGAAAAAGGATAATTCTAGCTATTAATTTGAAGCCCAAAACTCGTAAAGAAAGAAAGAAAGAAAAAAAATTTAACAAAGCGTTGCAGTGTCTTTTCTTGCCAAAGCAGAACACAGAATTTGATCTTTTGTTTACAGGGCCTGGGCAACAGTTGCAAGTTACCTTCTGAGAATGTGGCAAAGTGAGTGAGTGACAAGCTCTGCTTGAAAGGGCTTTGCTTGGTTATGTTTGTTTCTGGCTTTGAGAAAGACTGCAGAAAGGTGTTTTAAGAGAACGGAAAATGTTCAGCCACATTGCAGATGCCACAGGACTTCTGAGGTAACCTCAAGCATCTGTAGAGCTCTTTCTTATGTTCCTTCTAGAATGCTGCAGAAAGGGTGAAACTGCTGTTCAGTTTAAAGAGAGGCTGCAGGAGCAAGTGAGTGAATCTTTGCAGATTAGAAAGACATTCTCTTCACAAATCTACCAGTCATCATCATCACCATCATCATTACCATTCTGTGCTCATGGAGGGAAACCTGAATAGGAATGAAGTGTATATATATATATATATATATATATATTAATTGGAGAGTTGGAAATAGGAAAGTAGAGGAAAGAAGAGTAGTACAAAGTCAATTTAAAGAATATTCAATAATCCATTGAGTTACAAATCTAAATGGCCAAACATGTCATTAAAACTGCTTCATTCCTAATTTGTATTCTTTTGTCAGATTTCTCATATAGTAGTTAATTAAATACATTTTAAAACATGATATACATTGTATAAATAGGGGGAAATGCAATGTTTTTAATTATTAAGGATTCATTAGCTTCCAATATTCTTCCATTCCTTATTATTTTGGTTAAACTGCTACAATCTATGATTTTGAAAACCAAGCATACTCTAAAATAATATTTTCCCCTATGTCATTTAACCTCTTTCACCCAAAATAAAATACTTTCCATGACTTTCCTTGCCAAAAACTACATTTCAGAATCTTTTTACTTATTACAGTAAAATTTATTATTCTAATTTCTTCATATTTACCAGCTAAAGTTACCTTTTGATAGTTCTTTAAGCTATCAAAGCACGTCTTAGCTTTCAAGTCTGTTGGATATCTAATGAGGTCATGCTTTATTCAGTTGTATGGCTAGTTTGACACACAAATATAAGAAGGTCAAGTGACTTGCCCGAGATCTTACTGTGAGTCAGTGATGGAGCATAAAATAGAGCATGAGCCCTTGTTCAGGGCTTTAATCTTAGATTATATATTAGTGAAATCAATATCTGAAGTTTTTAAACATACAATGTGAGGAATTTCCTATATCATGATGTAGGTTCTGCTGACTACTTAGATGATCACTGAGTTTTCATTAAAGTCAAATACAGTTGACCCTTGACCAACACAATCATCACAATCTGAGTTGCATGGGTCCACTTATATGTGGATCGTTTTCAATAAATACCTATACTGTTTCTGATCTGTGGTCGGGAGTCTGCAAATGTGGAGGGCCAACTTGTATGCATTGCTATATGCTATTTTATATAGTGGACTTGAACATCCATGGGGGGCGCTGGAACCAATACCCCACAGATACTGAGGGACGACTTAAGTTTTCAGGCCATCAAAAGTTATACTTGGATTTTCAATTGCCTGGAGGTCTGGCCCCCCTAACCCCTGTGTTGTTCAAGGATTGACTGTATAGTAGTCCCCCTGCTTATCTGTAGTTTCGCAGTTTCGTTTTCTGAGCTTTAAGTTACCTGTGGTCAACAGTGGTTCAAAAATATGAAATGGAAAATTCCCGAAATAAACAATTCATAAGTTTTAAATTACATGCCATTCTGAGTAGTGTGATGAAATCTTGCACGATCCCACTCCATCCCGCTTGAACATGAATCATCTTTCTATCCAGTGTCTCCCCATCCATTAGTCACTTATCAGATTGACTGTCACAATATCACAGTGCTTGTGTTCATGTAACCCTTATTTTAGTTAAAATTGGCCCCAGACTAGTGATGCTGGCAATTTGGATATACCAAAGAGAAGCCATAATGTGCTTCCTTTAAGTGAAAAGATACGAATATATAGGGAAAAACAGTATATATAGAGTTCGGTATGATCCATGGTTTCATACATCCACTAGGGGTCCTGGGATATAATTTCCCACAGGTAAGTGGGGACTACTATAAACTCCTTTAAGTGGATAAACTTCCTAATTTATAGAAGAGATCAGCAATGAGGAAAATAAGCCACATTATTGTGATATCATAATTTACTGAGAACCAAAAGTCTATGAAATATGTCATGATATTGAGAGAAAATGGTTATTATTGTTATTTGAATAAAATAAAATTAAATAGAAGAAAAGCAGAAAGAACGCAGCCCCAAGCCAGGAGTCTCAAGTTTGAATATCATTTTTGTCACTAACCAGATTCCTGTACCCCTCTGAGTCTGACAGAATGACTACAAATGCAGTAATTGCACATACTCTCTTTGTGGGTACAACAAGAAGTTTGAATTTGATCTATAAACTCCTTCTAGCTGTAAAAACTTGTGCCTGAGACTATAACATGATTATAAAATATACATATTATCACATATACGTATCATACATATGTGTCATACATGTGCACACACAAATATACATATATTGAAGATGAAGAGGACAAATTGAGAAATTAAAATCATTTAAAAATATAACACTTTCTGAGCATTGACTATCACCAGGCCCTGTGCTAAATGCATTATTTTATCCTGCTCATTCTGTGAGGCAGGTATCGAATTATCCTTATGTGGAAACTGAGGCACTGAGATATTCAATGATTTGCCTAATGTAAGTAGTGGAACTCAAAAATCTAGCTCAGAGGACCAAGCACATAAGAATTACATTATATCTCCTATTATTAAATAGAATTTATTCTTTGTTAGAGTGCAAAGAATAAGATTAAAATTTGATTTTAAAAAAATATTTCTTACCCAAGAATTTAAAATTAAAATAAAATTATAGGAATGTAGTAACAAGTCTATCTCCCACATAAGGAGTAGAGTGTTTGTGAAAGAAAACTCAAAGCAAAACATTTACTTTGTGATGCTATCTGGAAGACAATTCTCATTTTGCAGATGAGACCTACAGAGGTGGAATTTGCTATCTCACAGGAAAGAAATCTTGTCTTCTACCTTTCCACCATCCCCAATTACCCTCCTCTCTGCCTCATAGTCCAATAGCATCTTGATGATTATCCACCATTTGGGATTCTCTATCTCACTAATCATCTCCAATAGCCAGACCAGATTCTTGCTGTTCGTGTGTGAATTTACATTTCATTAAATGTTAAACAGATTATAAAAGCTTTACTATCAAAATGCCTCATTATTTTTCCATTTTAAATTTTGCTATGATCTTTTTTTTTTTTTTTGCTATTATCTTTTATGAATGACTCATATAGGTAAAGAACAGAGTAAAAATTGTAACATTAGATTTAAATTTGAAAATATTTTACCATTAGAACACAACAAGCAAGTGTCAGGCCATGACTTCATACCATGAGAAAAATATCAATTTTAGCATATAGGGTGTCTATTTAGTGTCCCATAATTTTAAGTGAATCATAACCAGACTACATACATGTCCTACTGTGTGTTCCAGCTTACAATGTTTATCAATATATTTAGTTAATGGTCTAAGGTACAATCTTTGCAAACAGCACCATTCACCTTGCATGTATGCCCCATTTTTTCATTTGTTTTGTTTTGTTTTTTAATGCTTTCTTTTGTATAGTAGAGGACACCTCTTGCCCTCCATTCACAGAGCTTCTGCTTGTTTTGCTAGTAGCTGTGGTGATGGATTTGCACTATTCCCTCTCTGGCCTGGTCCACTCTTGTGACCAAGGTCATGAATATGCAACACAGCAAGCTTCGGTCAGGGGCCTTGTTAGCTCTGTGCTTTAATCAACTGAGCTCTTAAGTCACAGGCAGCCAGTGGTTAAATAGACTTAGGGACGGAGTGAGTATGTGTATTCA